TCTAAGTGGTCAAGAGGTATCCAAAAAAGATGTTTTTAAATACCTGGGCTCCATTTTGCAAAAAGGTGGAGAGATTGATGAGGATGTAAATCATAGAATCAGAGCAGGGTGGATGAAATGGCGCAGTGCATCTGGGTTTTTGTGTGACTGCAAAATCTCCCTTAAGTTAAAAGGAAAATTCTATAAAACAGCAGTAAAACCGGCAATGCTATATGGAGCGGAATGTTGGCCAGAGGCAACATGAGCATAAGATGGGAGTAGCAGAGATGAGGATGTTAAGGTGGATGTGTGGTTATAAAAGGATGGATAAGATAAGAAATGAAGATATTCGACAAAAGGTAGGAGTAGTACCGGTAGCTGAGAAGATGAGAAAACATAGATTGAGGTGGTTTGGGCACGTGATGAGAAAGCCCCTGGATGCTCCTGTAAGAACAGAAGTTTGTTATCAACAACTCAACACAAAAAGAGGCAGAGGTAGGCCGAAACTTACTTGGGGGAAGGTAGTAAAACAAGATTTAATGGAATGAGATATAGATTGGCGGACGGTATGTCTTAGAACGGAGTGGAGAAAAGCTATAAGTATGGTGGAGGGTTAGACCCGTTGTTATTCGTATGTTCCAGATGGTTCCTTTTTAGTCCTTTTCCCTTTCATGTCCCCCACTTCTTCTTTTCCCTTTCTTTCTTACTTTTATTTATATATATATACATATATTATATTATTACTTCGTTTTTTTTTTCAACCGTTTGTATCTTTCATGTGGGTTCATCTACCACCGACCCCAATTAATTTGGGATAAAGGTGATGTGATGTTGATGTGATATATATATATATATATATATATATATATATATATATGGTTATGATTCTCCACATTTAATGCTTTTATCTTTTGTATGGTTATGATTCCCCGCATTTAATGTTTTCACGTATATATGTGGCAAGTATTTGATTGCTGCATATACAGCAGCCGCAGAAATGTAAACCTTGTATATATATATAGTACTATCTGAACTTGACACTGATGATTTATTATTCATTCATGTTTTATTGTACAAGTTACATGCTAATTAATCTGGATGCTAAAATTTTGTTCAATATGACTATTATTTATACTTGGTCATTACTTTATATAAGTTATCATTAACATTTTTATGTCTTCTATGATTAGTGCTCAAAGTACGGTTAAGATTGAGGAGCTGCTTCTAGAAGATCAAAATGTCAAGCGCAGGAGAGAGCGTATCCAGAAACAATCCTCACTTCTCTCCAAATTGACTCGACAACTGAGTATTCATGACAACCGAGCAGCTGCCGCCTCTAATTGGTCAAATGGTACTACAGGTGTGTGTGTGTGTGTGAGCTGCTTTGTTACTCATTTACATATTTATTGGATGGGTGAATTCGGCATTCATTTAATGTATCAGAGCATGTTTTTTGTTTTAAGTGCCCAAATTGGTCATCGATGATGACTGAATCCTATTAAGAAATATGATGCCAATTTATCTATTCTGTCAATTCTTTTATAGAACATTTATATCCTTGACCAATTGACCATCGATTAATTATATTTTCATAAAATGCATGTTCATAGATAATAAGACTATGTATGTGTCAGAATTCACTGTTGATTTTTTCATTTTGCTCATTAGCAGTCAACATTTACATTTTACTTTAAAAAGTGCACGTTGCACTTTAGAATATCTAAATCATTTATCTTGCCATCTTAATTATCGTGGCATTGAACCTGATTCTTAAAATTTCTTGTTTTCCCCTTCTATAGTAGTTTCATTTTTTGGTATCTTCCCTCTCTTTTTTTCCCTCACTTGTCTAAAGATTACATTTTTGGTTTGTTCAGAGAGTAGCCCAAGAAGCAGCGGACCAGGTGATGACTGGAGATCTGCCTTTGATGCAGCTGCAAATGGAACTGTTGGTCGCAGTGGTTCATCAAGATCTGGATCCAATGGTCACAGTCGACATAATAGTGATCCTGCACAAAATGGTGACTTGAACTCTGGTTCAAACTCCAGCAGCCGTCGTACACCTAATCGATTACCTCCTGCTCCACCGGGTTCTTCGGGTTACAAATATTAATAGATGGCTGAGACTGGTGATCCCTTGACATTTCTTGTTTTGATACATTTTTGGAGGGTAGGACCGCTCCCACCCCAGTTTCGTACCTTTGAGGATAAGGTAATTCTTTGTTTCTGGCAGGATATTTAGGTGATGATAAGTGTTTGTGTACATAGAAGACTAGTTTATTAGTAGTATATGTCTTCCGGGTTTGTCTTATTATCCGGCGGTATGGTGTCTAGGTGGGACTTGAATACATTGATCATGTTTTGCTATTCAATATTCTTTCTTTTTACTTCTATAGCTTTTTATGTTTCCTTTTTCCTTTTTTTGGAACTTGAACTCATTTTTGGATTCAACCGATGTATCTTGCTTTGTAATGATTGAAATAATGCAGCAACTGGTGGGTTTTAAACTTACATTTGTAGTGTTTTAGTTAGGGAGATATATCTTGTACCTCTATTTTTCCCTTTTCTTTCGGAGTAATTTTTCAATCTTTGATGTCTGAGGTACGTATGTTATTGTTTTTCTTTAATATTTTTTTAAAGGGTAATTTACCATCTTGATTCATCTTTTTTCAAACAATTGTTTTATTATTTTCTTTTGTCGCTTAACTGTCTTCAAATTTGGTTTAATTTAAAAATATCAATTTTTCAATTAACTTTAACAGTAATATGTCGTTTTCTAAAATTGCTATTGCTATTGCTATTTTGTTTTGTTTTGTTTTTTAAAAAAAAAGGGTTAATGGGTAGAATAAACGGTGATTTCGGAGGATAATTTGAGACGGTATTAATTTACGTCTAATAGAAATATGCCCCGCACGAAAATATAAAGATTTTGAATATGTAGTTTTATGCTCCATAAAAGATTTTAATGAACCAGAAGCTTGTGAGAAAACGAAATGAAAAGAAAAAGATCATGACATATGAAGTGCGACCTATGTTTCTTACAAAGACCATATATTGAGTCCGGAGATTTTTATTCTAAAGTGGTGGATGTGATTACATTTTGATATCTGATACGGTTATCTGCTCATAAAAAGGCTAAATTTACACGTGATGGATATTATTTTCATCTTAACTCAGAAGATATCTACTTGAAAATACCAAGGAATAAAGATATCAACAACATAGCTAAATTACTTAATGGATATTATTTACATCTTATGGATCACTCGAGAAGATATCTACGAGAAAATCCATGATGAAATGAAGGTATCGACAACATTTAATGAATTGGATATATTTGTGAAGATATTATTGTTCTTTCGAATATCGTAGGTTACCAGTGTTTGGTTTATATGCATTATGATATTTCATGCAATTGTGGCTTCTTTTTTCAAATATTTACCGATATTCTATTTGTTGAGATATATAGTTTCACATTGATTGGATGAGCAACTAATATAGCCTTTATAAGGTCTTGGGCACTCACACCCCTTGAGCTAGCTTTTGAGGTGGTGTATCCCAAGGTTCTTTACATGGTATCAGAGCCTCACCGTCCTCCGCTTTAAAAAAGTGGAATTAAAATAAAAAAAAGCACAAAAAGGTAAACCAAAAATGGGCCTGTGCAATTTTCACGCTTCTAACCTAAAGAGCTCTTGCGTGAGGGGCGTGTTGAGATATATAGTCCCACATTAATTGGATGGGCAACTAATATAGCCTTTATAAGGCCTTGGGCACTCACACCCCTTGAGCTAGCTTTTGGGATGGTGTATTCCAAGATTCTTTACATGGTATCAGAGCCTTACCGTCCCCCGCTTTAAAAAAGTGGAATTAAAATAAAATAAAAAAAGCACAAAAAGGTAAACCAAAAATGGGTCTGTGCAATTTCTACGCTTCTAGCCTAAAGGGCTCTTGCGTGAAGGGGCGTGTTGAGATATATAGTCCCACATTGATTGGATGGGCAACTAATATAGCCTTTATAAGGCTTTGGGCACTCACACCCCTTGAGCTAGCTTTTGGGGTGGTGTATCCCAAGGTTCTTTACACTATTTGCCCATGTATAAAATTTTATAACTGGATTTACTATAATTAATATTATTTTCATCAACTAAATATTATTAGAATGCCTGAGTTTTTTTAATATGTAGAAGATCTGATGAAAGATATAGAAATAAAAGATCTCTGGATAATAAATTTTTGTCGACCTGTCGATCTAGCATTTTTATTTTTTGGAAAATTGTTGTCGATCTAGCATTTAGCAATCAAAATAGGTTCCCATAATCTAGTTATATAGAAAAGGTTCTTAAGTGATTTTATATGGGTAAATCACATCGATTTAATACATCAATGATTGTTAGATTGTTAGATTGTTAAATGCGACAAGAGAATCATTTTCAGCTTCAAAAAGATAATAAAAAACCCTTCGCCTTGAAAATGCCTACATCTTCTTTGAGAAGTTGTGCTCACAAGATTTGAATATGTCAAATCATCGACCTTAACTGATGTATACGTGTCCATCAATATACATTAAGTAATCCTTTTAAGTCATGCTTTCAAGAGGAAAATACTGTACTCATTTGTTTTCCTGGACAAGATTTTTGACGTGACAGATTGCATACAAAGAACACACTGTATTTTCTTTCTTTCACTAAATTTGTTCCCACTTCATTTTTTTTTTAGTCTTAATTGCATATACTAATTGTACATCAAAAGGGAAAGTGTTATGAATATTATTAAAAAGTGAATGTCTAAAAGCTAATATAGGAAGTTGTTATCTTATTACGATTTGACTAGAATTTAATTCTAAGAAAACTTTTATAGATTAGGATTTGATTCAGTTCTGAATATATCACCTTACGCAATATTAGGTACCATATATAATACAAAATGGTGATCAATTAAAATTAAAATTACAGGCAATACCAAAGCCACCTTAGTAATTGCATCCACTCAAACTGAAATGAAATAACCAAAGTCGAATTGAACCTTGAAGGAAGCTTCGAGATCTATATAAAAAGAAGCAACAAAATCACTGAGCATCTCACACAAGATAACAACATACCTCAAAAATGGACTATCACAAAGTTAATATGAAAATAATAATGATACAACTCAATAATAGGAGAAACCAGGAAGAGCTACCCGCACAAAATTTCCCGGAGTAAACTGTTGTTCTATTAACGCTTGGTACTCTGCAGACACTCACAGCCAAATCCAGAGATATCCGTAAAATAGCTAGCAATGAGAAAATACAACACACTAAAAACACAACTACACCCTTGTTTTCCAAGGAAATCTGTTTCCCCCGGACCTTTTCAACTTCATACCTGAATTATTAAAAAAACAAAAATCAGAACCCAAAGAACTAAATAATTAATAGCATCATCCATCAAGGAAAACAAAATAATCTTGCTTAATATTTATTAACAAACTCTGATAATCAAAAGCCATTCGATTATGAAGAATACAGCAACCAGAGGGAAATGTTCAGAAACAGTAAATAATATCAACTTTCTTCATTGTATTATCATCCTACAGCATGCATTTTTATTCCTATGACCAAACTCTTCAAGATCTCCATAGGTACTGTACTCCTATGGGTCTTGTTATAAATATTTAACAGTATAAAATGTTCATGAGCTCATTTGGATGATCTTGGTTAAAAATGCAGTTCTCATGATAAAAATATCAAACACCATATCCTTCCTCCTCTTCAACACGAGAACTGTGCAGTTACATCTAGTAAGAGGAGAAATAAAGATTATATTTCCCCTAAACGAACATTAGCAAATAGCACTAGTCCTGAGTATTAAAAATCTCCTATTGTTTTTATTGTGTTCTGGATTGCTGTATGCACCAAACTTGTTACATATAACTTAATCAATGATCTCTCAAAGCATCAATGATCTCTCAAAGCCTTAGTGAAGATAATTGTCAGTTGACCATTTGAGTGGACAGAGCTAATGGTGATGTCTCCATATAAGATTTTCTCTTTAATGAAGTAACAATTGATCTGAAAATGTATGGTCCTATTGTAAAACACTGCATTGGAGGAAATGTGCAAATTGGAGCTCTCTACACAACTGTTTTAGCCAAACAAGTTTGCAATTGGCTAAACCCATGGATCGGTACTCCGCTTTGGCACTTGATCTTGCGACAATATCTTGCTTCTTACTTTTCTAGGATATCATTTATCTTTTGTGAATTACAGTACCCAAAAGTGAACCTTCTATCAATAAGGGAGCCTATCCGATCAACATCTGATTATCAAACATTCTGAGTGTAACCTGTATCTTCATAGAAAAGACCTTATCTCGAAGTTCCTTTGACACATTTTAAGATTCGAATCATTGCATCCCAATGTTCATCACAAGGAAAATTAAGGTACTGACTTATAGCACTGATTATACGAATCACTACATCCCAATGTTCATCACAAGATATTAAGATATCTACACAAATAACTATGAGATAGTTCAGTTTCCCAACTAACTTTTTATATCTTTCTAAATCCGAAAGTGGCTCACCCTAATTTGGTAGAAGTTTAGTGTTTCAATCAATATTTGTGGCTTTCCATTCAACAAATCAATATCCTAAAGAATATTTGTGGCGTATTTCCTCTATAAAATTACAATACCATTCTGGGATTGTTCCACTTGTATTCTCAATTGTTGAAGTTTTGCCAAGGTCTTTGGTCTAAAAGTGATGACCAAGATATTGTTTTATATGAATGATGCCATGATTATCACTGCTAGTGATAACAATGTCATCAACATATACAATCAAATAAATACATCCATGAGCTAAATGATTATATTCATCAACTTCACTCCATGTCATACCGAACTATGGAACTACAATGCTAAATCGGTCAATCCAAGCCCAAGGAAATTGCTTAGACAATACAATGATTGTGTGGAGGACAGACCATGCGAGATTCACAAGTAATGTGAGCGCAGAAAATATAACCAAAGATGGTTGAAAATGATTTGATGATGCTGGATAATTGGCCATTAACCTTAGTTCCCCTAGAGCGATCAACAACATGCATAAATTCAACTTTGGTGGTAAGGTGATCTGTGTACTCTTGTCTGGTAAGTCGCAGTTTGATATCTGAAGCCTATGTATCATAGTTGCTCCCATCCAAGTTGTTAGAGGAGAAAGGCACATTGATGTAGCTGGTGAAATCAGGATCCTTGATCTTTGGAATGTCATTAGAGGCATTATAAATGCTAGACCCAACCGTGGGTTAGTGGAGAAGATGGATGAACATAGACCGGAAGGGCACTATAGAGGAAGGGATGTCTAATCAGAGTTTGAAACCAAGAGGTGATCGGGTGGAGGACAAGCAGATGAGCATAGAGTTGCAAGGACAAGCGATTGCTAGAAGTAGTGGCATGTGGGCGAAGAGCAGAAAGACATCACTGACATGTGACGCTGCTGATGGAGCTAAGATTGGTAGGGATGGCCAGGCTACCTACGACGAACCCGATGCAGGGGTCACCGGCTAGAAAAGTTGTTAGTCGACAGTGGACAATGGCTGGATTAGTGACACATGGTTGACAGAGAAGCTATTTGGGATGTAGGAAGGATATAAAACATTTATGAGCCTTCACTTTTACATGGTATCAGAGCCTCGTGTCCCGGGTTCGATCCTCACTGCCCTCCACTTTCTCTTGTAGAATTTCTTAGTACAGGTAGATGGGTCTGTGCATTGTCCACCCCTCAAGCCCAGTGGGCTTTCGTGTGAGGGGCGTGCTATAGTTATATAAAATTATTAATGTAGCCTCCCCAAAAGAGAAAGCTCATCAATATTGCAGAAACTCTAATCCTCGTGATTGAATTATCCTAACCGTTGGACTACAAACGTGAGGGGCAGTTTTCAATGTAGTTAAAAATGTGCACTTGAATTGATGGAACTATAAGTTTTTAATAATTTCTTATTTTTTATTCTGAAAATTTTATGCTTTTGATCATCCTTTGCTTTTAAATTCAAAGTTCTCGTAGTTGTCTGTCCAAATAAAGCGCAAATAGTAAACTAGTGATTGAATTCTAATCCTCGTGGGAACAATCTCGTACTCATGTACACTTTTATTACTTTTACGACCGATGCACTTACCGAAGTCGCAACAAGTTTTTGAATTATCCTAACTGTTGGACTACAAACGCAAGGGGCTGATTTCAATGTAGTTAAAAAAGTGCACTTGAATTGATGGACTACAAATGGTGATACATAAACTCTCGTGTTAAATATTGCATAATTACCCTTGTATAAGTGAAGGCTCATCAATGTTTTCTGTACTTCTCTAACACGCTCCCTCACACGAGAGCCCACTGGGCATGGAGGGTGGATAATGCATAAGCCCACCTACCTGTGCTAAATTTCACAAGAGAAACGGGGGGTGGTAAGGATCGAACTCGTGATCTTGTGGTCACTGAAACTCTGATACCATGTAAAGAACCAATTTAACCTAATAGATTAAGCTTTTGGGTTAAATTGGTTCTTTACATGGTATTAGATCCTTGTGTCCCGGAATCGATCCTCACTGCCCCACTTTGCCAAGGTCTTTGGTCTAAAAGTGATGACCAAGATATTGTTTTATATGAATGATGCCATGATTATCACTGCTAGTGATAACAATGTCATCAACATATACAATCAAATAAATACATCCATGAGCTAAATGATTATATTCATCAACTTCACTCCATGTCATACCGAACTATGGAACTACAATGCTAAATCGGTCAATCCAAGCCCAAGGAAATTGCTTAGACAATACAATGATTGTGTGGAGGACAGACCATGCGAGATTCACAAGTAATGTGAGCGCAGAAAATATAACCAAAGATGGTTGAAAATGATTTGATGATGCTGGATAATTGGCCATTAACCTTAGTTCCCCTAGAGCGATCAACAACATGCATAAATTCAACTTTGGTGGTAAGGTGATCTGTGTACTCTTGTCTGGTAAGTCGCAGTTTGATATCTGAAGCCTATGTATCATAGTTGCTCCCATCCAAGTTGTTAGAGGAGAAAGGCACATTGATGTAGCTGGTGAAATCAGGATCCTTGATCTTTGGAATGTCATTAGAGGCATTATAAATGCTAGACCCAACCGTGGGTTAGTGGAGAAGATGGATGAACATAGACCGGAAGGGCACTATAGAGGAAGGGATGTCTAATCAGAGTTTGAAACCAAGAGGTGATCGGGTGGAGGACAAGCAGATGAGCATAGAGTTGCAAGGACAAGCGATTGCTAGAAGTAGTGGCATGTGGGCGAAGAGCAGAAAGACATCACTGACATGTGACGCTGCTGATGGAGCTAAGATTGGTAGGGATGGCCAGGCTACCTACGACGAACCCGATGCAGGGGTCACCGGCTAGAAAAGTTGTTAGTCGACAGTGGACAATGGCTGGATTAGTGACACATGGTTGACAGAGAAGCTATTTGGGATGTAGGAAGGATATAAAACATTTATGAGCCTTCACTTTTACATGGTATCAGAGCCTCGTGTCCCGGGTTCGATCCTCACTGCCCTCCACTTTCTCTTGTAGAATTTCTTAGTACAGGTAGATGGGTCTGTGCATTGTCCACCCCTCAAGCCCAGTGGGCTTTCGTGTGAGGGGCGTGCTATAGTTATATAAAATTATTAATGTAGCCTCCCCAAAAGAGAAAGCTCATCAATATTGCAGAAACTCTAATCCTCGTGATTGAATTATCCTAACCGTTGGACTACAAACGTGAGGGGCAGTTTTCAATGTAGTTAAAAATGTGCACTTGAATTGATGGAACTATAAGTTTTTAATAATTTCTTATTTTTTATTCTGAAAATTTTATGCTTTTGATCATCCTTTGCTTTTAAATTCAAAGTTCTCGTAGTTGTCTGTCCAAATAAAGCGCAAATAGTAAACTAGTGATTGAATTCTAATCCTCGTGGGAACAATCTCGTACTCATGTACACTTTTATTACTTTTACGACCGATGCACTTACCGAAGTCGCAACAAGTTTTTGAATTATCCTAACTGTTGGACTACAAACGCAAGGGGCTGATTTCAATGTAGTTAAAAAAGTGCACTTGAATTGATGGACTACAAATGGTGATACATAAACTCTCGTGTTAAATATTGCATAATTACCCTTGTATAAGTGAAGGCTCATCAATGTTTTCTGTACTTCTCTAACACGCTCCCTCACACGAGAGCCCACTGGGCATGGAGGGTGGATAATGCATAAGCCCACCTACCTGTGCTAAATTTCACAAGAGAAACGGGGGGTGGTAAGGATCGAACTCGTGATCTTGTGGTCACTGAAACTCTGATACCATGTAAAGAACCAATTTAACCTAATAGATTAAGCTTTTGGGTTAAATTGGTTCTTTACATGGTATTAGATCCTTGTGTCCCGGAATCGATCCTCACTGCCCCACTTTGCCAAGGTCTTTGGTCTAAAAGTGATGACCAAGATATTGTTTTATATGAATGATGCCATGATTATCACTGCTAGTGATAACAATGTCATCAACATATACAATCAAATAAATACATCCATGAGCTAAATGATTATATTCATCAACTTCACTCCATGTCATACCGAACTATGGAACTACAATGCTAAATCGGTCAATCCAAGCCCAAGGAAATTGCTTAGACAATACAATGATTGTGTGGAGGACAGACCATGCGAGATTCACAAGTAATGTGAGCGCAGAAAATATAACCAAAGATGGTTGAAAATGATTTGATGATGCTGGATAATTGGCCATTAACCTTAGTTCCCCTAGAGCGATCAACAACATGCATAAATTCAACTTTGGTGGTAAGGTGATCTGTGTACTCTTGTCTGGTAAGTCGCAGTTTGATATCTGAAGCCTATGTATCATAGTTGCTCCCATCCAAGTTGTTAGAGGAGAAAGGCACATTGATGTAGCTGGTGAAATCAGGATCCTTGATCTTTGGAATGTCATTAGAGGCATTATAAATGCTAGACCCAACCGTGGGTTAGTGGAGAAGATGGATGAACATAGACCGGAAGGGCACTATAGAGGAAGGGATGTCTAATCAGAGTTTGAAACCAAGAGGTGATCGGGTGGAGGACAAGCAGATGAGCATAGAGTTGCAAGGACAAGCGATTGCTAGAAGTAGTGGCATGTGGGCGAAGAACAGAAAGACATCACTGACATGTGACGCTGCTGATGGAGCTAAGATTGGTAGGGATGGCCAGGCTACCTACGACGAACCCGATGCAGGGGTCACCGGCTAGAAAAGTTGTTAGTCGACAGTGGACAATGGCTGGATTAGTGACACATGGTTGACAGAGAAGCTATTTGGGATGTAGGAAGGATATAAAACATTTATGAGCCTTCACTTTTACATGGTATCAGAGCCTCGTGTCCCGGGTTCGATCCTCACTGCCCTCCACTTTCTCTTGTAGAATTTCTTAGTACAGGTAGATGGGTCTGTGCATTGTCCACCCCTCAAGCCCAGTGGGCTTTCGTGTGAGGGGCGTGCTATAGTTATATAAAATTATTAATGTAGCCTCCCCAAAAGAGAAAGCTCATCAATATTGCAGAAACTCTAATCCTCGTGATTGAATTATCCTAACCGTTGGACTACAAACGTGAGGGGCAGTTTTCAATGTAGTTAAAAATGTGCACTTGAATTGATGGAACTACAAGTTTTTAATAATTTCTTATTTTTTATTCTGAAAATTTTATGCTTTTGATCATCCTTTGCTTTTAAATTCAAAGTTCTCGTAGTTGTCTGTCCAAATAAAGCGCAAATAGTAAACTAGTGATTGAATTCTAATCCTCGTGGGAACAATCTCGTACTCATGTACACTTTTATTACTTTTACGACCGATGCACTTACCGAAGTCGCAACAAGTTTTTGAATTATCCTAACTGTTGGACTACAAACGCAAGGGGCTGATTTCAATGTAGTTAAAAAAGTGCACTTGAATTGATGGACTACAAATGGTGATACATAAACTCTCGTGTTAAATATTGCATAATTACCCTTGTATAAGTGAAGGCTCATCAATGTTTTCTGTACTTCTCTAACACGCTCCCTCACACGAGAGCCCACTGGGCATGGAGGGTGGATAATGCATAAGCCCACCTACCTGTGCTAAATTTCACAAGAGAAACGGGGGGTGGTAAGGATCGAACTCGTGATCTTGTGGTCACTGAAACTCTGATACCATGTAAAGAACCAATTTAACCTAATAGATTAAGCTTTTGGGTTAAATTGGTTCTTTACATGGTATTAGATCCTTGTGTCCCGGATTCGATCCTCACTGCCCCACTTTCTCTTGTGGAATTTCTTAGCACAGGTAGGTTGGGCCTGATGCATCATCCACCCTTCAAGCCCAATGGGCTCTCGTGTGAGGGGGTATGTTAGAGATACCTAAAACCATTAAAAAGGTCTTCACTTAACCAGCTTAAGTTTTTGGGTTAAATGGTTCTTTACAAAGGATGATGCAACATGGGGATCTGAAACCAGAGTTGAAACATAGTTTTTGCAAAACAAAAAAAAAAAAAACCATTGATAGGTAGTGGGTCCACCGGGTAGGCATAGTTGCCTTTTGTCATGCTCTAGATACCATGTTAAAATGAAGAGAAAAAAAGAGACGAGATGAAATCCGTGTGTTAAACTACACAGCGGAGACCGAATTATATAGGTGAAAAATGATAATATACAAATACCATATACCCTAAGTATTGTAATTACATGATTTGGTTAGCCTATACAATGAATCAAGATGTTACTTATACAATGAACCTAGACACTATTCACATTACCAACATTCTCAAAGTACACTAGTTACTAAATCTGAACTAGCTACTTAGTTCATATAGTAAGAAATAGAAAAGCTTGTATTCTAAACTCTCACCTCAAAATAACATTGTCCTTGAGTAGATGATCCAACTGCATGGAAATATGGGTCTTCCAAGAATTGATATCACTAGCATCTTTTGTCTGTGAGGGCAACAAATCATTTCCAAAATGAATGAAAGTAGAATAGTAATGATTTTTATACAATCAAATACAAATATTGCCAATAATATCCAAGATAGAATTTAACATACTATAACATCCTGCCAGTCAACGAGATTCCTAATGTCTTCTTTGATCTTCTGTAGAAGTATATCTTTTCCTCCTATGTCCTTGCTGTACTCTTTGAAAATATTGACATATCTAAAATTTAAGTCCTCCATATACCGCTCCAACACAAACAAATTTAAGTCTAGAGAACGAACTTTTTGCATCAGAATTTTGAGAACAGTATCCCCAGGCATCCTTCCAACTTGTTGACGGATTTCTTCAACTGGATCATGAGCATTACTATTTACTATCTCATGATTTGCAGAAGAGATATCTGAAGCAGGGTCAGAATTGATCCCTCCAAAAGTATTTTGATGAACATCTTCCCTCTCAGCAGGATTAGGATGGGGTGATATTGTCCTCTTATCATCACTACCTTCCCCAGGTGCAAAGAGATTATCTTGAGTATATATCAAATCCTCCAGCATCCTCTCAACAGCGTCCACACCATAAACTTCAACTATACTTAGTGTGCAGTAAAATTCTGAACCATAGTGGCTTTGAAGATTCAACTTTAGGTATCTCACCCATTTTGGCTCCTGAAGAACAAACCTTTGAGCATGCTTCACATTTGAGGCAGTAAAATTCCCAAGGAAAACCCAAACATCTGTTGGAAAGCTCAGACTTCCATGAAGTTCAAAATCTTTTAAATTGGAAGAATGGTGCTCAAAATTAGCTATTTCTATTGTATCTACTAAGGTTTCTTCTGAAAGTTCAATAATGACATATTTCTCTTCAGCAGAACATGGATTTCGAAGATACTTATCTTTATCTCTGCTTAAGATATCAGAGGCACCTTTGGCTTCTTTGTTAGAACCTAAAACTTTTGCTCCCTTTGATGCTGAAGCATAATTGTATTCTGCACCACCAGGCTCCACTCTATGTATTACATTTCCAGATGGACCAGTGCCAGGCTTAATTTTAGAACTAATTGCCCTGCTCTTGAACTCATCAAGACCAAGAGGCACAGCCCAAGACAAATGATCATATTTTTGCACATCATTTTCAGGTTTGACAGCAGATTCACTACTATCAACTTCATGTTTCTCTCTAGTAGGAAAATCAATATTTTCTTTATTATAAGGTACAGCATAATCACTGCTTTCTCCATTGGGGAGTGACTCACCAACCTTGACACCTTTAATCAAATTCTTGGAAGGAATGTAAGCATCAGTTTCTTCAATTAAATATTCAACAACAGAATTAGAGATTTTGCACTGTCCGTGCTTATCTTCATTCCATTTTGATAAACCCATTGAATGTTCTTCAGATTCATCTACATCCAACGATAACAAACAGGCTAATAAGAATATGTGACATGCATCTGCAGTGTAGGAAAAAACTGTTTGATTTTTCAAAAGCTAGACCATATATGAGTTTGTTATAAAGAAGCAAATTTTCATCCAATTTCACCAGAATGAACTCCATAAGAAAAAATGTGTACAAAAGATACATGAGAATGAATGACAAACAGGCATGGATTTATTTCTTTTAAAAAACACATAGAATGCATTTATAACAAACATTCTTATCAGACTACAGATCACTAAACAAGGTGCAACTTCCTTGGACAGAACAAGCTAAACTGTGGATTGGAGCAATCTGCAGTCTGACTTTTGGAGTTTAACATTCTAAAATCCGCAGTCTGAAATAGGTGTTGGGGGACATTATTTCAGAGAATAAAGTTCTTCTGTTTGCAGGTAGACAGGTCATAGAGCTGCTTTGGTAACCAATGAAGTGGTTGATGATGTGAGAAAAGGTCAGAACAAATTCTAGTACTTAAATTGGATTTGAGAAAGTTTATGATATAGGTCGTTGGGGTTTTTTGGGATAAGGTTGTAGAGAAAAAAGAGTTTGTCTCTAGATGGAGAAGTTGGATTTCAGGTTGTCTATTAATTAGTGTTTTTTTTTTTTTTTTTTTTTTTTTGTGATTGTTAATGCAGAGCAGAAAGATAGGTTTCATGGGCAGAGGGGTGTGAAGCAAGGAGACCATTTCTCTTCTTTTCTGTTCACTTCCGTGGTGGATGTTGATGGAACCCAAAAAATGCTTATTTCTTTCAGTCAATGGAGGCAGAGCCTTTTACAAACACCAATTGACAGAATAAGTCACTAAAAAGACCCTTCACAAGCTCACCCTTAGAACCAACCAACCTAGGCTCTAAGAGATCCCCAAATCCCCAATGTTCACTCAATACATGCATACCTCACTCCCCACATTCCCCCTTCTTTTATCCTATCCCCTAAGAATATTCTAGAACTAAATAACTCTCTTCCTTTTCTCTTTCTATAACAACCCTTATACTGTTATTATATTCTTCCCTCATACTTCAAGCCCATCAGATGTACATCAGATCTACTTAGTCATCTAATTTCTAGAGCAGTCACCAGCGGATCCATTAAAGGAGTCAAAGTGGGCTCGGATGGAGTAACTTACTCTCATTTGCAGTTTACTGATCAAAACATCTTGTGCTTAGAACACGATGAGGATATTTTCCTGAATGCTATTTCTCCTCTTCAGCTTTTTGAGCTTTTCTGAAAATTAACATGTCCTAATATGGTTTAGCTGGTATTAATGTAGATTCTCATGCTCCCTCTTCTTTCACATATCCCTTGTAGGTTGTGAGATTTAGAGTGGCCTCTTATCTACTTGGGAGTTACCACCCAAGAGCAGTTTCCTTTTGGGACACAGCTGTTAAAAACGAACTGTAAGCGCCTAGACAGTTGGAAAGAGGCTTACTTTTCTCAAGGGGATCAAACTACCCTAACCCAGGCTTGTCTTTCTAGCATCTCTCTCATATCTTTATTCCATATCCCAATTAGAATTAGCGATACTATAGAAAAGATTATGAGGGATTTTCTCTGGTTAGGTGCTACGAAAATGAGACTTAATCACTTGCTGAGTTGGGAGATTTGTTGTCATCCAAAGAAGCAATGTAGTTAGGGTCCTAGCAATTTGGTGTCTAAGAACATTGTTTTGGCAAATAAACGGCTATGGAGTTTTCGATTGGAACCTCATTCCCTTTTGCATTAGGTTATCTGAAGTAAAATTAGACCAAAATGGGTGGGATGCTAAAGCAGAAACACGAGCTTCTCATTTTAGTTCGCTAAAACTTATCACATGGTTATGCTACCTTTAAGTCTTTCCTTTCCCGATAAGGATCTCATGTCAACTTTTGGGAGGACCAATGAGTAGTAGGATATTCTTTTAGTTTGGCTTTCTCACGTCTTTATCAAACTATCTTTCCTTACACAAGTCTCCTATCCACAATTTCACGAGTTCAAGACTCTACATTTTCATGGCATCTTAACCTTTTTTGTGATTTTAAATGATAGGAAATCCTCTAAATTGAAGACTCTATTGGGCATCTAATACGAATCTTGGGAGAGCCTCATCCCAAAAGCTAACTCGTAAAGTCCATATAAACCCCACATCAGAACTTTATGTTTCCGATGTGGGACTCTAAGTCCCAACTGGATCGTAACAGTCTCCTTGACACTGTTCACTTATCCTCTAGTCAAGTTAAAAAGGTTTGATCTATTAATCTTTATGGGGTCCTTTCATACAAACTTTTCTTTCAGTTCCTAACTCATATTTGTTGAACAAAATATCTTTCCATCTAAAGATTAAGTCCTTTATTTGGACAGCAGTGCTCAATTAAAAAAGAAAGAAGAGAAAACAGAAATATACCTGTGTAACCATGACCATGACTGATCCATAAGCTGAAGAGGAAGAACAGGCCCCACAAAACAAAAACCAAAGAGAGAGAAACTTCATATAGAAGGTTTTTCCCATAACGAGGCTTGTTGTCTAAAGCTCTTCCTTCCAGAAGAGCTTTACGTGATCTCTGCATTGCACATCAATCCAATTCAGTGCAACCCTTCAACAACTAAATTTAAAAGACAAATTCCCTGCAACAGAGACAACAACAACAAAAAACAAAGCATTTTTCTCTCATTCAATGCTCAATAACAAGTATAAAACGGCATCGTTTATAACATTTATTTCACTCGAGAGAGAGAGAGAGAGAGAGTATAATAGTGTCATTGTGTGTACATTCAGATCAGGATCTCACAGTAGTGAAATATATATTCGTTAAGGAATTAAAATACAAAAGTTTACTTATAAATCTGAAAAAAATTAATTATAAGAGAAAGCGAAGCTGCTGCAAGGGACAAACACGTTATTGATAGATTAAGGAGTGATGATTTCAAAAGAGAAAATTGAATGAAAGGAAAGAAGATGGATCGGATCTAAGGATAAAAAGTAGAATAATAATAATGGAATTGTGACGTCACCACTCACCTGGTTGGGGGCTAATGAAGAAGGGAAGAAAATGGCGTTGACGATGGATCTGAGTTGTTTTGGAAGGCAAATTGAGAAAAGAGAGAAACATAGAAATATAAAAGTCACACGGAACAAAGCGCGGCATGCTTAACGAGGCTCCAGAACTCACAAGACGCACGGATCCTTTAAAAACCGACAATTTTCGATATTTTTTTTTTGAAAAGCAAACAGGAAACCGAAAAACAAAAAAGAAATTAGGAACACCTCCTAGACCAAACTACTCCTACATAGTCCCTTTCAAGTTTGTCACGACAACCAGAAGGAGGCGAGTCAAACTCTTGTAAAGACCAATCAAAGGAGTAGGCAAAAGAGGCCATCCAATCGGCAACCCCATTCCCTTCCCTATGAATATGGGAAATTCTAACCCTCCAATTCCAATCCAGCATATTCCTTATGCGCAAGACCAAGTTAGAGGCTGGATGATGAGAGCTGAACCCTTCTCTTATGAAAAACTGGGCTACTAAGGAATCACCTTCAAGCCAGACAAAACGGAAACCTTTCCTCCATGCAATCTCAAGCCCAAGGAGACAACCCCAAAGTTCTGCTAACAAAACATTACCACAGCCAAGATTTTTACAAAAGCCAACAAGCCACCTTCCACTAGCATTCCTAAATACACCCCCACAAGCAGAAGCTTCTCCATTATTCATACTTGACCCATCCACATTGAGCTTAACCCAAGGGTCCGAAGGAAAAACCCAAGAAACTAATTTCTCTTTATTCGAGTTAGTCTCAAGACCAGCAACTCGAAGCGTGTTTTCTGACCAAGAAAAATCTTCACCATAGACCATAGCAGCTCTAAAAGTGCCATAAGCAGGAACAGAAGATCCCTGAAAAATTTTCTTATTCCTAGCTTGCCAAATGAAACAGGAAATGATACCAAACAGAAGAGGCCATGATGGCAAATTGGACCAATTACGATCCTCAGAGATATTGGACAACACCCATTGCTGAAGATTAAGAGAGAAAAAATCCTCCCAAGCCTCTCGCTTAACTGCAATCTCCCACACTTTTTTTGCTGCAATACAATCTCTAACCGCATGTAAGGAAGTTTCCGTAAAACAATTGCACAGATGACATATATCTGAACCCGCCATGTGCCGTCTGCAACGCCTTTCATTTGTCAAAATTTTATCTCCTAACAACAGCCAAAGGAACGTACGAATCCGTTCAGGTCCATGCCACTGCCAAACGCGATTCCAAGGTAAATTGGTAGATTCCTCGTTACCCCTGGATATGGCCATATAAGCGGACTTCAGCGAAAAACTCCCATCAGATGTCCTTGTCCACAAAATTCGGTCATGACCATTAACATCCGAAGGAGGAAGGATGTTATTAATACGAGCATTGACGTGATCGGGAAGACTATGCTGGAAAGCCCCCCACATCCAACTTCCGGAGGATGAGACAAGATCAGAGACCATTAGCTGATGATTTATCTGAGAGGGATCAGAAATAGCAGCATAGGATGAGAGTGCACCACAACCCGGAACCCACGGGTCATCCCAAAAATGAGTAGAATTTCCATTACCTAGCAAAATTCTGGAATGCTGTAATATCACAGGCCAAGACGAAACAATTGCTTTCCAAAGAGAGGAGCTATTCCGAGTAGCAGAAATATTAGGAACCAAATCAGACTGAACTTTATACTTGCTCTTTAAAACTCTAGCCCAAAGCGCGTCTGGATTAGAAAGGATCCCATAACCAATTTTCATAATAAAAGCCCTGTTAACTTCCTTCATTTTCCTCAGACCCAGCCCTCCATGATCTTTATCCATGCACAACTGATCCCACGCAACCAGATGAGGACGAGTAGATGCTCTATTAGAACCCCACAAAAACCTCCTAATATGTTTCTCAATATCATTGCAGATTCCGAGAGGAACAACAGAAACTTGCATTGTGTAGGCTGGAATAGCTGAGAGAACAGCTTTCGAAAGTGTAATTCTTCCTGCTAGAGAAAGACTGGTGTGGTTCCAGGCATTAATCCTAGATTGAACTCGATCGAGGATATGACTGAAAGCCACCCTCCCAACTCTGCGATGATGAAGAGGAATACCCAAATACTTTCCAAGATCCACCGTCCTTGAGAAGCCCAACTCACCACTAAGTTCCTCTGCCAAAATATGATTCACATTGTGGGAGAAGAGAATTTTTGTTTTTTCATGGTTAACCTTTTGCCCAGAAGAAAGACAAAAATCATCTAGCACCTTGGAAATGGTTTGGGCCTGATCAAAGGATGCATCCGCACAAAGAATAAGATCATCCGCAAAAAAGAGGTGAGAAATGGGAGGAGCATTTCTCCTCAACATGATCGGCTTCCAGCACTTTTGCCTAACTGCATGGGAAATGAGATGACCAAGTCGCTCCATACAAAGAATAAATAAATATGGGGACAAAGGGTCACCCTGTCTAAGCCCCCTGGATGGGAAAAACTCCTGAGTTGTAGAACCATTCCAAAGAACATTCATCGAACAAGAAGAAACACACCACATAACAAGATTAATGAGATTTGGGGGGAGTCCCACATCCTGAAGAGTATCTCGGAGAAAGTCCCAGCTAATTCTGTCATAAGCTTTCTCCAGATCCACCTTAATCATCATCCAACCTTTGGCGCCTTTCTTTGACCTCATAGAGTGAATAATTTCCTGAGCAATAATTACATTATCTGTCCCTTGCCTTCCTTTGATGAAACTACACTGGTTAGGCATAACAATTTTATCCATCTGCAATTTCAAACGGTTAGCAATAAGCTTAGTAATAGTCTTATAAATAACATTACAAAGGCTAATAGGCCGGAAATCTTTAAGGGATTGAGGTGAAGTTATCTTCGGGATCAGGCAAATAAGAGTTTGATTAATATCCCGAACTTTTTGGGGATTATTAAACACATCTTTCACCAGATCACAAACAGAGCTTCCTACAGTATCCCATTGAGATTGGAAAAATAGACTATGAAGACCGTCCACCCCTGGAGCTTTGTGAGGTCCCATGGAAAAAACTGTACTCCTAATCTCCTCATTCGAAGGAATGCTACCAATATGAATGTTGTGCTCTTGCACAAGGTGAGGAAAATAGCCTCTAATTGGAAGCCCAGGTCTAGCAGTATTATCCTCTTTAAACAAATTACGATAATACTCCACCGCCATATTCATCAGAATAGAGGGATCACCAATCCAATCACCAGCATCATTTTTCAGAGCATCAATACGATTTCTCCTCCTCCTAGCAGCTGTAGTAGAATGGAAGAATTTCGTATTCCGGTCACCATATTTCAACCAGCTAGCCCTAGACCGCTGAAACCAAGTAAGATCCTCCCGAATATAAATGAGATTCAACTGACGCCAAAGATCTTTCTGCAGAATTTCTAGAGCATGGCAAGGATGGTGACTAAGACTACGGTCAATACCCCTTAGTCTCGCCTGAAGATTATTCTTAAGCTTGGCATCTTCCCTAAAGCACTCCCTATGCCAGTGAGAAGCATTCGATCGAAAAGTTTCACTAGCTGTGCCCCAACCTGTACTCCCATTCCAACACTCCTGCACTAGGCCAGGGAAATCCTCATGAGTGAGCCAGGCTGCCAGAAATCTAAATGGACGGCTCCCTCCAGGATGGTGAGGAGAAGGACCCTCCCAGAGAAGAAGAGGTCTATGATCCGAGCAGTAGCAGGGAAGATGAGTCACAACCCTGTCAGGAAAGGACAATTGCCACTGCTCATTCGCACAAACTCTATCAAGACGTTCCTTCAATCTGCCTCTATGCCAAGTGAAAGTAGGCCCCTGATGACCCAAGTCTTCCAGATTGCAGTTCATAATACAATTTTGGAAATCATAAATACTCCTCCAATCAGGCGGGCCACCTCCCTCCTTTTCTGCTGCATGCAAATAAGAATTGAAATCTCCCAAAATGCACCAAGCCTCCGAGGATTGCTGTTGTAACCTTCCTAG